ATATATTGAAATATTTTGATTAAAATATAAACATATTTTAAATACTAGTTTATACAAGAAAAATAAAATATATCAAAAATATAAATGATTCATACATTTAAATATAAATTGAATCATTTATATTTTCTATACATCTATATTTAATAAGAAAATAAAATTATTGGGGGACTGTTTTGCAAGTTTTAAAAGTTGGGGACCTAAATTCAAGTGCCTGAAAAGTTCAATGACCGTTTATATAATTTATCCTAATTTTCTAACAGTGATTTAAGTTGGGGACCATATTGCAAACAAAATAAATGTTAGGGGACTGTATTGCAAGTTTTAAAAGTTGAGGACCTAAATGCAAGCTTCAGAAATGTTCAGTGACCATTACTATACTTTACCCTTAATATAAATGATTGACTTAATAGAATTTATATGAGGAAAGAGAGGAAGAAGTAGAAACGATGAACAATTTCAACGAAATCTCAATTTCTTATTTTATTATGTTCAACTCTATGTATTCCTCAATCTGTAGAGTACATTGAATGTATAAAAATAGCTATAGCAGAATTTTTGTTATTTGTATTAACAGCTATTCTAAGAGGAATATTTTTATGAGGTGCTAAAGATTTAATAACTATCTTTCATATTATTTTTTCTTAAAATTTGATTTAGGGTAGAGAAGAGTCGAAGGGGTAGGTGAGGATAATTTCTCCCCTAAAAAATTTAAATTAGTATATATTTTATATATTTTTTATATTTTTATTTCATTGTTTGTTTTCGTTTCCTATAATTTTATAGGTTCATTCCCTCCTAAAATTTTTAAAGTTGATTATCTAATATAATATCATGTGTTTGTCCCTAATTTAAACGGTTTATAATGATTATTAGGAATTGTCTGTCCAGTTCAGTTGGTAGAGCGCAAGGCTCTTAACCTTATAGTCGTGAGATCGAGTCCCACGGTGGGCAATTCATAATTCTGACTGTCGGAGGTCTTTCACGGAAGCTGCACTCAACCCGTTGGGGGCAGCCTACTACCTTACCTCCACTTCACCTCATTACATATGGGAATAAGATCAATAAATTTATAATGATTCTTAGTACCAGTGTTATGAGTACTGTCATTAGGGTTGTAAATGAAACGAGACAAATCGCGAGCTACTTGATATTCAACTCGAAAAGCTCGTGAGCAGCTCGAAAATATAATATATTAAGATTTTTTTTAAATATTAATAATATTAACATTTATGTATTGATTTTTTAAATACAGTAAGATTTCCATGTATTTAAGGTTCAAGTTCGAGTTTGAGACTTCAATCGAGTTAAGTTTAAGAATTTTTCTTTCTTTCATTTCAAGCCTTTTCGAGCTGTTCACGAGCTCTAATTCAGGATTTCGAGTTCGAGCTTAAAATTTTAAGCTCGCGAGTTTTCGAGTCGAGCCGAGCTCAATTTCAGAATTTTCGAGTCGAGTCGAGCTCAACAATACTTAAGCTCGACTCGGCTCGGCTCGTTTACAGCCTAACGGTCATGATGACTACTTGCATGTTAATATACTCAATAAATACGATCGTTGAACTATAGATTTAACTCTGACAAATAATATAGGCCTTTTGAAAGTAATGTCAAAAGATCGTGGGTTTTTAAGAGGTGCAAGGCTCCTAATACCCTATGACAGGAGATATTCTCCCCAAACTACAACTACGAAGGAATTTTCTAAAAATGTTGATATAAAAAGAGTAACAGTATGGAGAAAATTCAGGGTAAAACAAAATTATTGAATCTTATATTAGAGTAGACAAGATCACAATCTTTCCATTTTCATCTACTAACAACTGGAGATTGTTATATGGTTTGGGGCACAAGGGAGCCCCATTCACATTTATTTTGTCTCATCTTGACAATATCCACCATTTTGATTTAAAGCGTTGCTTTTAATCACTGCCGGGGACCATACTCCTCTACTGGGTGCATCAAAAATTACAAAGTTTTGTTTTTTTCCCTCTCAAGTCAACAATATATGTGGAAATTGTTATTTACATCTTATCATAAATTCATAATTTGATAAAATCCTTACTTTTCTTAGTCACGTGATTGAAAGGTTGATGATCTTTTCTCTTCTTCTTTTTTTATTGTAGGTTATCAACCATTTAAAAAACAAAAACTTAAACGGTGGTAGGGCTTAACCAGACCCATCTCTTCCATTTTAAAGAAGTAAGATACATTAATTCATATCAGATACAAAATAAGCGTTTAAAAAATATAAATAAATCCTGTTAAATATTTCTTTTTGAAAAGAGAATAATAATATTTAATCATATATATTGGAAAGTTAGTATGTCGTTGTAAAAAAATCTACACAGGAAAAATTAGTTACAATAGAAAAGGAAAATAATCAACATAATCTTAGCTTCATTATAACAACAAAATCCTGAAAGCAACATGGACCTAAAGTTCATGTGCTGTTGTTCCCGGAAGCATATTATTGAGAAAAGTCACTCTTGGTGATTTTGTTTCACATTATTGACAATAAATAGGAACGGACATATGGTTTTATGTTAAAGATGAACTTATAAAATTTTAGAATGAAAATTTACAAAATTTTAGAGAAGGAAGATATATAAAAATACTTCAATAACATAAAAAATTAAAATTATCAGAGTAGTGATTACTATCAACTGCTGTCTATCCATCCTTGGTGATAAACCTGCATTAGTCTGCCTTATAAACGTCTGCATCTGAAGGCCTTAATTAGCCGTATAAATCATGCTTTGCGTATGTTTTTTATTTTGAAGACAAGGAGGACCCCTCCGGCTTATGACTTGAGCTCCCTTCACGTGATTTTTTTCCTTCATGAAATTGTCGATCACCTCCCCTCTCTGAAAACGATTGCTGTCCCATCCGGTGTCCGTTATATACACCGAACAAGAGATCGAATCAGACAAACTGTTAGTTTTCGATTCAATATGTTGGGTTTTATCAGTTTTATTGATTTTAGTGTACAATAACTTAAACATTTCAATATAGCTGTTGCTTAGTATTTTAATTTAATGATATGGTTAAGTAAGAAGCTTAAACCTTAATTCTTTCCCTCTCTTCCGATAAATTACAGCAAAAATGATTAAAAATTCTTTTATTATTGAAGATAATATTTGAACTGTGGCGGTTATAGATGACTCATTCTTTTTAGTTTGAGTAGGGAGCTCCGGTTGTTGATTTCAAGGAAAATTACAAACTACAGATGGTGTCTGATCTCTTGGTCCATAAAGTTTGGAGAGGAAGAGACCCATTAGTCTAGTGTGCGGGTTTATATAGAGATTCTTGATGCTCGTGTCAGACTTAGGATCATGATTGTTACGTTTAGGCTATTAGGTTGAATATATATGATCGATTAAAAGTAGATTTGATTCTAGCAGATCACATCAGTCTACCAAAGTTATGTCAAGAGAAAATATATGTCCGGAGGAGAAGACTCTAGAGTCTATGATTGACGGAGGGATCCTTATTAGAACTCTTCTTATTTTGGAGGTTACGATCAGGGCCGGCTCTGAGCAGGGGCAAGAGGGGCACCCGCCCAGGGCTCATAATTTTAATTTATATTAATTTATTATATTTTAATATACTAAATTAAAAATAAGGCTCATAAATATTAATATACAACTTTCTTATATTAATACAAGAGGGCCCATAAACTTATTTTTTATTAACTTATTGTTCTCATCATAACGTTAAAAATATATTAATATACTAAATTAAAAGCATGGTTCATAAATATTAATAAACTAAATTAAAAGCAAGGCCCATAAATTTATTTCTTATTGACTTATTAAAAGAATGTTGTAATAATTTTAATATTATTTTTTCTCATAATAATTTGTCGGATGTTGATGCAGATGGTTTTTTTTAAATAAAGTGTTGCAATTGACTTTGCCAAATGTATTCATGTCAGCGCTTGAAGTTATTGAGTTTGTTAAAACTAGAGATTGTTATCCTAATGTTTCAATTGCTTATCGAATCTTATTAACAATGCTGGTAACAGTAGCATCCGCGGAAAGAAGTTTTTCAAAGCTGAAATTATTGAAGAATTACTTGAGGTCAACAATGTCACAAGAAAGATTGAATGGACTAGCTATGTTATATATTGAGAAAAATATGTTGGAAAACATTGATGTTGACACTATCATCAATGATTTTGCACCAAGAAATGCTCGAAGACAATGTTTTTTATAAGTATTTATATGCTTAAGTATGTTTTTGACATTTTTGAATATTGTAATGAATTAATATTCATTTAATTTAATAAAAAATTAATTAAAATTTTATATTGCATATTTTTTAATATTATTTTAAATTAGGGTCCAATTTTTTTAATTTTACACCGGGCCAAGAAAAAGTTAGAACCGGCCCTGGTTACGATTATCGGATTAGTTGTTTATGGAGAAGGTCCGGAAGATGTATTACAATTATGAAACAACGACGGATGTTGTGTTGTCCTTAATTACATGTGTGCTTGCTATATCAGTGCAAGGATTCAAGAACAGTGTCAATTGCTATGTTGGTGCCTTGTTCAGAAACTGCTACTCTATTGGCAATGCAGGGCCATAAGTGTTGCAACTTAGGTATGTTTTGGTCCACAAATCAGCACGCCATGCATTCTATAACCTGTTCCCCGGTCCCTGTTTCTGTCTACAAGTTGAGTACGCCAGATTGAGAAAGAAAAACCGAGGTAAGTTCCACATGAAACATAAAAATATTTAATTTTCATAGTTCTAAAATACGAAGGAGAAAATAAATTACTTAATCATAACAGTAGGAATGACACATAGATCGGTACGTAGTTACATTAACTGAGTACATATGATAGCTTTTTCATGGCAAACACAGCAGGAGACATTGATGGTGACTCTAACAGACCACATTACTAACGTAGAATTACTACAAAACTCGATGTCATTGTCCATTAATTCACCACTTGTCGATATACTATAGATTTTGCTTCTATATAAGACAAATCCAACTTGAAGATGTTTATCACAGCAAACATATTCAGAAACAAACCAGAAAAAACAACCATGGCTAGGGTTCCCTGCAAGCATCTTATTCTTGTTGCTTTTTCCCTCTTCTTCATCGCTACAACAGCTACAGGTAAAGTTTTGAATCTCGAATTGAATTTATAAAGCTTTAGCCTTTAGAAGATCGGATCTGAACTCTTTGTTTTGTTTTTCAGCAAGAAATATGCCGGTGGCTAAGGAAACTCAGAAAGTACTTCACGTTGATCAAGTGCTTACGGCGACGGAAAATCATGGAGAAGATCATGCTAAGGTTGATGAATTAGTAGCTATGGACTACAGTCCGGCAACAAGGAAGCCTCCGATCCATAATTAATTACCAAATTTTTGTATATTAAAACAAGTAATTGCTTTCTCACTTCATATATACATTTCTACATAGCAGGAAGGATAAAACAAGGTAATCATCATCTTATAGAGAATCAGATTCACATACTCTCTAGGGTTTATGTTTTTCTTTTTGTAAATAATAACCATGCATGGAGAAGCCTTGGATATTGTATCAGTTTTTGTGTTTAATGGATACGTATAAATACCTACATGTTTCAGTCATTAAACAGAACATCAAACTCTAATCACCCGAAATATAAATGGTGCAGCAGCAGCAAGTGGCACGAAATTGATGAATTAAGCAGCAAATAAAGGAGAAGATGAGCCCAGATTTTTCATAAAGTCTGCTGCTTGATACTTGAATGCTCACCAAAACCTTCGTCTTTAGAACAAATTTAGAGAAATAAAAGTAAACTGAACTCCTCATAATTATGCTTAGATATCACAGTAAACAGCAACGCCCCATTGCGATTAATGAAAAAAATTCCCAAAAATATTGGAAAATAAGTCACAAAAGAACCTTGCTTCAACTGCATATAAGATTAAAATGGTTTGAAAAACATAAATTTGATTTTGCTTTTTAAAAACTACAGCATTCGATTGGAGTTGGCTTGCTTTTTAAATGGTTAATGGTGAAAATTCATTCTTGAAAATTTGCCGTATTTTCTTAGTATAATTTTGTGCACCGTCTTTGAACAGAAGATAATATGTAAAATTATTTTAATATTAAATTTACTTAAATATCATTTTAAACAATATATTATCATGTTATCCATGAATAAAAATATATCAAATATTAACCAACGTTAAAATTATAAATATATATATATATATATTTTATAAATGTTGAAATTTGATTTTTGAAGACCATCAATACATGGACTAACATAAAATTTTATAACATGGTGTAAATTTTTAGAAAGTTATATTATACATTTAAGAGCTTGAAATTAATTTTTTTTAAATACGAAATTAGATCATATAGAGCAAATACTTAAACTATTTAAAAATTTAGAATTTGTAAGGTACTGCCGTCCCGGCACGCATAGATCCATCTCTAACTAAATAAAAGCAAAACATTAAATAGTAAATGAATCAACTAATTTATACATAAATTCTTTTAACATAATGAATCTTTTTCATCTATTTATGAATTTTTTTCTTTTAATTTTTTTACACAACAACTATAAAAAAGATAAAGAAATTTTTAATCTTTTATATTGATATTTTTTTATCAATTTAACTCATAATATTTAAAAAAAATTTTCAATCATCGATGTTCATAGTTTTTCAATGATTTATGAAACTTATAAACGTAAAAAGACTGAAAAATATTTTTCCTTTTTTGTAGTTACTAGGTCAATAAGTAACAAAAATCAAACAGGTATTACTGAAAAGATTAAGAATTTTAAATAAAAATTTAATTTTGCACTTAAAATATAGAAACTAGATTTAAAATTTTAAAATAGTAAGGAACTATCTATGATTAAAAAACATAATATCTTATGGTCATTGATCGTAGAAAGTTCTTATAGATTATCGATATATAGAGTGATCCTACATTGTACCAAGTGGAATTGGTAAACTTGATAACTATTATATTTCTTCATATCCATATTAGAATCCAACAAGGTGCACGTCTCTAAGAGTTTCAGAGAAAGCTTACGGATTCTTCAACTTATGATTCTGTCTATAAATTGTATCAGGAAAGGGGTTAGCACTGCAAATTTGGGAGAGAGAAAACGTGCGCAAAAACTAGACCACTCTACCACAACTGACTATCGAGCAACACTTCACCCGGACAACATTTGGCTCCACTCGAGTTCGGATTCTTTCTATTAAGGATGTGAACAGCAAGAAATGTTTGGTCTCCTGAAATCCAAATCATATTACTAGTCCAATCCAGTGAGGGGGAAATGATCTGTAAAGCTGTACTTCATCTGTTTTAAGACAAATAGCAAAACAGAGACATGATACAATTAAGAGTAAGAAAGAAAATGGCAGCCCTTACAAGGACAACATACACAAACAAGCCTAAGAAGGCCTCAGACATCCGAGGAAGGATTGAAGCAGCATTAGCTCTCGAGCTTGACGAAAGCGAAAGCTCTTACGCGGCCACTGCAAATGTTATGAGAAACAAGCCTTTCAAGTTATCATCATTGACCTTAACCTCATACCAACATTGCACTTAACTTCTCACACTTAACACTAAAAGCAATTCAAATTTAATTACAATTACACTTTAATCGATAGTAATTGTTGAAAAATTAATCTCGCCCTTATCATGTAATGGAGCAGCCGAGCAGGAATCAGCTTCATGCAAATAAGTTTCAACAATGCCCAAAGCACCAAACTAATTAAACAAATAAATGATTTTTAACAACATAAAAGAAATAACACCCAGAAAGAAGATCAATACGATGCTTAATGAATCTGCTAATCTTTTTATTTACGAAGACATAATCTTATAATGCTTTTCCAATAACAAAAAAATCAAGTATCAAAAGCATCAAACAATTGGAATCAGGATTAAACTGTTCAAGAACATCAAATTTCGATTAAGTTATGAAGTATATATTTATATAAATTTATTTATAAAATAAATATCAGCTTGTATATATAGATGTATATAAATTAAAAGAGATAAAAGAAAAGTCTCAGACATCCAAGGAAGTAGTGAAACAGCAGAAGCTCTCGAGCCCGGCGAAAGGCGAAAGCTCTCAGGCGGCCACTGCGAATGTTCTTTGAGAAACAAGCCTTTGGATTTATCATCATCGACCCTTTCTTCTTTTCAACTGCTTTATCAAACGAAATACAAAATCATTTGAAAGTAAAAACCAAGGAAAAGGAAAAAAATTGAGAAAACGAAGGTTTAGGTGCTGATGGGATTTATAAAGAGCGAGTTTAGGGTTTTAGCCATTCTAAGAAATTAGGGTATTTCTCACCGTTTACGCATAAGAACGGCTGCAATTCGTTCCATCATTGATGGAAAACTTGGGCCAGGAACACCCAAATGTTTGGGCTTTAAACACATTCTTTTTGAACTTTTTTTCCATGTGATCAGATCATTGAAAAACAAAATGAAAATTAAAGGTGAAAAAATATTTCAAAATAAAATCAATTTTAAAAATTAAAGCTCAAGACATGTGGAGGTAGGGATGGGCATTTAAACCCGACCCATCGGTTTCGACCCGATCGGGTATGAGTTTTTTCAAAAAAAATTAGGGTCGGGTCGGAATTTTTTTATGTTGTATTCGGGTCTGGTCGGGTTCAGGTTTAGGGTGAAAAAATCCGACCCGACCCGAAAAAATATATAATTTTACCTATATATTTAGGGATAATTACAATAATACCCCTCTATATATAATTTTTTTTCAATTAAGTCACTATTTTTATTGAATAAAAATAATTTTTTTATTATTTCAGGCCGGGTCTGGTTTCTATGTCATATATTCGGGTCGGGTCAGGTCGGGTGAAATCTTGTTTTGGTTGGGTCGAGTCGGGTCTCGGGTGGAGGCTCTCTTGATCTCGGGTCGGGTCGGGTGGATCAAAAACCCGACCCATGCCCATCCCTATGTGGAGGAACCTTAAAAAAATTAACGTAATACTACGCATTTAAAAACACACCTAATACTCAATTAAATATAAGGTAAAGTATACAAACGATGGGTGTTGTTTTATTGAATTTCTTGGTTATTAAAAATTATAATTTTCATTTAAATATCGAACATTATTTGTTGAGTCAATTTACTATTAAAAATTATAAAATAATCATTTGACTATTTATATGTCTCGTCGTTATTAGTTAAAAAAATCTACAACTGAACGTTAAACTGTTAATTGAATATAAATAAAAACATTTTCGTCGGATAAAAAGAGGAAGGGGAGTGAAATGTGAAAGTGAGGTGGAGATAAGTGTGGGATGGAGCTTTAAGATTTGAGAGAGAACTTTAGAATCCTCAAAACACGAAACAGGAAAGGTCCAAGTAAGGTCGGACAGTCCACGTTTGATCCACGTCTTCATTTCTCTTTCCCTGACACACAAAACAATAAATAAATAAACCTACTATTAAAATCTCTTTGCGGAGACGTAAGGAATAATAGGATAAACGTTTGAGTAATTTTTTTAAAGTAACCAAGTAGATAAAGTATATTTGATTATTTCTATTTAATTTGAACTTCTACATAACTTATCTTTATAATTTGAACACAACCTGCTAAAGCCAACAACTACAATCATATTACCATCTCAAAATCTGATCAAATTTCCCAGAATAAATAGCGTTAAATTAAGATACGAGGTTGACGCGTTTGACTTTTCTTCTAAATATGCACTAGAGCCTACCTGGTTTATTATACGCATGTCACACGATACGCCAAAAGGAAATGAAAGGCAAAAAGAAGATGGTTGTAACTAATTCCTAAACCTCTCGTTCCAACGAATCCATAGATGATTTGACTTTCTTTGTCAAAACTACGATATCTTGCTTTTACGTGTACCTTTTTTTTAACTACGACAAGTCATGTTTGCTGTTACATATGAACAAAAAAACTTGGTTTGAAAGCAACGAATCTGGTTGGAGATAAAGGGGATTCTTGTACGAAACAGTGAAGATGCCAATTTGTATTTATTACAACTAAGGTATCCTCCAAGTAGGGAAAAAGTTAATAAATTTGTTGACATGAATAAATTATAAGTTTTTAAAATGTTAAAATATTATTAATTTAGTTTATAATTTTAAATTGTAAAAAAAATCATAGGATAGAATGCAATTTCACCATCTACAGTTATAATTTTAGAATTTAAAAGAAATAGCCAAGGGCTTACCAATTCCTATAGCTTCGTCTGTCTACAAGTCTGTTTTATGATCTATAAAGATCAACCTTTCAAAATTCATGATACGTTTTTTCAAACTTATTTTTTTAAGGTTTAGGTATAAATTTCACCTGTAATAATGCAATATGCCTAGGGATGGGCATGGGTCGGGTTTTGGCCAACCCAATCCGAATATTTTACATCATTCATCCGACCCGAACTCGATCCGATTTTTGAGATAAAATCCGAAACCGATCCTACCCGACCCAAAATAATAAAAAAATATTCAATAAAAACAGTGATTTAATTGGAAAAAAATATAGAAGGGTATTATTATAATTATTCATAAATATATAAGATAAAATTATATTTTTTTGGACTGGGTCAGGTATTTTTTTCAGCCTAAACCCAAATTTAACCTCGACCTGAACCTTGTTTTTAAACAAAACCCCGACCAAATCAGGTCAGGCCAGAACCCGTCGAGTTCAAATCCCATACTCATACCTAAATATGCCTCACCATTAATATTTATATTTTAAGTACTGATAGTGTAGATTTATGACGAAATATACGGGAAATCCTCCCAGTATCATTAAGTAAGCAAATAAGTCTCTTTATTAAATAATGAACCAATTAAATTTTTGTATTTTTTTTATTAATTTAAGGTGATTACAATATAATATTTGTTTTAAAAAATACCCATGCAGTCTATTGTGTTTAAACTTGTAACCTCTAAGAATAACAATCATCTCTGTAACCACTAAGATAACTTGGTTCATGTGAATTTATAGTACTTTTAAAATAGAAGCAAGTTGGTAAAATTGATAACAATATTGATAAAAACCATTCATAAATTTTTTTAGTATGAACCATATGAATTCTTCGTTTAATCATTTAATGGTTCAAGTATAAATTAAACTCGTTGAGAGATAGAATCACAATGACGAAATTTTTTTATATCAAATTCAAATTTGGTGGGATACGGACAATGCTGACTAAAATATAATAAAATAATGTTTTTTACATGGCATAATCTTTTATGCAGATTATAATAATTAATATATTTATAATCTCTTAACACATAAATTAAATTCACAACTTTTTAAATATTATATCAACAATAATATCAATTGAATTGATGTCCAACCAACTATATAATATAAACCATATATGACAACTCGTACACGTTAGTATCAATTTCATCAACATAATTTCATTTTAAAAGTATGGCAACTTGATTTGCTCACTTTATGATGGTAGAGGGACTATTCAATGATTTGCCCTGTAGATTTTTACATTATCTATGATTTATATGATATCACTAAAATGCCAATGAAGTTTTGACCCGGTGGATAAAGGATGAAATCTAGAACACTTAAATGTATAGGTTTGAATCCCATTATTTACAAATTACGTGTGGTTAAATCTTTTAGAATCTATTTTGACTTGCGTAAACCTGTAATATTTATAATGGATTTTATAATTGATTTATGTATTTGGTGCTGTTGCTTGTTCCCCGCCATGCAGCGCTTTCGAAGGATCCATTCGTGACTGTGATGGAAACTGGATCACTGAATTCACATGTTATAATGGCTACTGCTCCTCGCTACAAACCAAACTTGGGGGATTCTTCATTGAACTAACCATTATTTGGGATCAAGGTCACGAAAAGATAATCGTTTAATAGGATTCTCTCCAGATGGTGAACTTAGTAAACGAAGAGGATGTTTCTGTCGAACATTGCTCCTTGGTTCGAGCCATTCAAAAGCTACTAAGTAAGAGCTGGCCTACAAACATTCATTGGATCCCACGATAAGTAAATAAAGTTGTTGATAAGCTGACAAAACTAAGCCTTGCTGAACAATCTTCCGTTCTTTGATTCTTTCTTTGTTCTCGAAGCTGCACCGATGGAGGTTTTGGATTTGTTGGCTAAAAATGTTACAGGCCCTCCATATTCTAGAACTTGATATAATTTGAACATTTCTTCCAATTCTAAAAAAATAAAATAAAAATTATTACATGTAATTATCATTAAAATTATATGCCTTTCCTAGAACTTGATGTAATTTGAACACTTCTAATTTTAAAAAATATTTACAAAAAATATAATTAAAAAGTCATGTTTAGATTTAAAAAATGTTTTTATGTAACCAAGTATATTTGATTAGTTGGTCAAAATGTTCATATTTATTCCCCCATATTTCCTTAGAAGATGGATGTTAAATCTACTAAGACTGCTCATCTTCATTCGCTCGTATTTCTTTAAACGATGAACATTAAATCTACTAAGAATACTTCTCTTCCTTCTCCTAAATTCCCTCCCCTTCCATTTAGATAGAATTAAAACTATATTTAAAATTTGTAAAAAAATTATTTTTATATAAAATTGATAGGTTATTTTAATCATGAGTATAGTTTGTACCAAACAATATTCTCATCAACAAATGATTATCGTACAAATTATGATATATATGATATCACAAAAAAACATAAATATGTTAATAATTTGGAATAGAATGAGGAAAACGCCAAAAATAAATAATAAAGTAATAGCCGATCATGTAAGAAAGACACTATCTAGAGGTTGACGTATTATGATGACTAGAATCTGAAGGCCAAGCATGCACCGTAAAATCTCCAACACCGCCACCTTGACTGCCGCTACCCAAGTTGAGGTTCTGACCCGACGTTTGAATTGGGAAAACGATAGGATACGAAGTCGGTGTCGAAGAAGAAGATTGTTCATCAAAACCGACTGAAGTTGACAAAACCATTTGGTCGTAGGGGTTCATAGATTGATGCTGTAATCTCGGTTGCTGTTGTGATCCACTTGGAAAATCATTGCCGGAACCAACCAAAAACTGAGAATAGTCGATATACTGGCCGGAAGCTCGAAAGGGTTGAAGTTGAACCGAGTGATGAGACGGAACAGAGAAATGGGTTGCTAGTGGTGTTATTGGTGGAGGGGGTGATATGAGTTTGGCGTTTTCAGGGAAGTTGAGCTTGGCTTTGTTGCCTCGGAATCGAAGGGCGGCTTCGTCGTAGGCTCTGGCGGCGGCCTCGGCGGTGTCGAATGTGCCTAACCAAACTCTAGCGGCTTTGAAGGGGTCTCTTATCTCAGCTGCCCATTTCCCCCATGGCCTCTGTCGCACTCCCCTGTATCTCCTCCTCGGTTCTTCTTTGCAGTTCTCGTTGCTTTTGTATTCATATATTTGGACCAACTTTGCAGGGGCGTTTGCCTCCACCGCCATACCTACACCGCCACCTTCCTGTTCTTCCCTTTCTCTCTTTTTCCCACAGATATTGGTATTTTCACCAATTGTATTAGAACTGAAATCACCATAGTTTTCATTCGGTGGCAGCTCAGGGATGTCGCCGGTTACGACGTAGGTCAAAGCTGAAACCATAGCTGACATCTCCCTTTCCCTACTAATCTCCGATAGCATTGACGACGACGAAGATCCTTCTTCTCGAAACATCGGCTGATGAGTAAACAACCATCGCAAGTCTTGGTCGACGTCGTCGAGCCCAACGGGCGCTTTCTCTTTCTTGTTCGCCACCTTTTTATCTATCTCACACATGAAAGTATCAAATTCGGAAATATCTTACACAACTTAATCAAGTTTTTTTAAAACAGTTATATAGACGATAAAGGCGAAGTTTGTCGGCCTACCAAAATTCGGCCGAACAGGGGACTTGAATAGTCGGTTAAACTTGGAACCGCCTCTTTTAAAATTGTTATAATGGAAACTTTATTTAAAAAAAGAAAAAAGAGTGACGTGGCAACTGGGCAAATTGGGAATAGTGGATAATGAGAAAGTCAAACAGTAAATTTCATTTTCTAATGTGAACCGGATTTTTGGACAGCTTGGGAACCGTCAAAGTCGGTTTTGCGCGTAAGATACCCTCCCTTTTGAGCCGACATAAATGGTAGCTAGTAGCTACGAAACCAATTGGGCTTGGTTGGATTTTGGGCTGATTATTTGTTTATGATTATTTTTTAGGGTAACTTTTATCATTGATCACCTAATTATTACTATCTTTCATTTTGACCATCAATTTTGAAATTTTATCAATCATGTCATCCAACTATTTAAATACATTCAATTAAGTCACTTGTCGTTAATATTTAATGTAAGTGTTGGTGCTGTAATTAATAAAATTGACATAATTATATATTTGATTCTTAATATTTATACATTCTATCAATTTGATCATAATTTTAATTTAATATAATTTAATAAATTTAATCTTCAATTAAGTGATGATATATGTCCCTATCAGATTGGAGGATGTTTTATAAATTTTATTATTTATTTTATTTTATATCTAATTAAGTGATGACACATGTAACAATAATATGTACAGTCGTCGGATATCAAACCAACATCATCATGCTTCCCTTGGAAGGCCTGAGCCTCTGGGTTAAGCCCCCCGCTTGGGGAAAACAAATGTAAAGGAAAAGTTGTAAGTAGAGGCAATTAAACTTAGGCTTTTAGGGTGTTTCGTGCTCCAACTATTGGATCAACACTAATATCTAGTTAATGTCTTAGAGCGTATTATATTTTATTTGTATTATAATAAAACAATAAAATGAATCAAATCTTGATTTTTTTAGAGAATATATCAACACCAAAACTATTTAAGAAAATTTAATGAATGGTTTATAAATACATGTATTTCATATATATTTTTTTAAAATATAGTTAATATCATATTTAAAATAAAATAAAATTCAATAAGTTTAAAAGTAGATTTAATATTTCTAAAATAAATTTGATAGTTGAAAATTTAATTTCATTAAAGCTTGAATTCATATTTTAAACGATATTTATTTTTATACAACCAAAGTATAATTTTAGTTTTTAACATAGTTAATAATTGTTATAAATATAATTCCTTTATATATAATCATTACATTAAATTGAAATTATCAATAATATTAAAAAATTTAATTTAATAATTATATATAAAAATACATATAATTTAAAAATATAAAAACCTATTATTTAAGAAAAAGCTAAATTGAATGATTATATATATATATATATATTATAAATTGTAATTGAATATAGAGCTTTGTTTAATGACTAGGGTGTTTGCACTCCATTTTAAATTTCCAAATTCGAATCCCTTTACAACCATGTTAGTTTCCCTTTTTTTCTCTGTAATTAGTTATAACAACTTAGATGTATAATGTTATAAACCATTACCAAGTCATGGGCTTAGCTTAGTGGTTTAGGGTTTAGGGTTGTATGAGGACGCCAAACTCGACCCAAACATAACCTCTAGAAAACCTGATCTAACTCAACTTGAATTTGATTTTTTTTAAAAAAATGATTTCAATAAGGTCGGATCAGGTCAAAACTGTTAAAAGTAAAACAAATATAAAGAATTCATCTGATTCATTCACACTCAAATGTTAATTTATAAAGTATCTTTCTTATATACAAAATAGCTTCTAACAAACTAACTAACTAAGCTTAATTGCATGCTAACTAACACATCAACAGATAACTACTTGTACATTTAACACTCCCCTTCAAATTGAGTGTTGGAAAATATTTTCAAGACCCAACTTGGACTTCAGATAATAATATTGTTGACTTCCCAGTGCCTTTGTCGTGACGTCTGCTAGCTGCTCGTGTGTTGAGATGTGCTCTGTTTGAATTAGCCCTTGTTGAATTTTCTCTTTTACAAAATGACAATCGATTTCTATGTGTTTTTTCCTCTCATAATATACAGGGTTAACAACTATTTGAAGTGTAGCCTTGTTGTCACAATAAAGCTTCACAAGTTTTAAGTCCTTCATGCCAAGTTATGTAAACAAGCCCTGCAACCAAACAATTTCTGATGCAATTAATGTCGTACCTCTATATTCTGCCTCTGCTGAAGATTTTACTACAACATTATGTTTTTTCGATTCCCATGAGATTAAAGAATCTCCAAATTTGATACAAAAACATGTAATTAACTTCTTAGTCATTAGACATGAAGCCCAATATGAGTCACAATAGGCTGAAACTTGACAATCAACAACAACCTTTAACAAAACACTATGTCCTGATTATCTCTTAATATATTTGATCACCCTTAAGGCAACTTCCATGTGAGACCTTTTAGGTTGATGTATGAACTGGCTAAGAAAATTCACTACATAAGTGATGTCTGGTCTAGTGTAAGTCAGGTAGATCAATCTTCCAATAAGTCTCTGATAAGTTGTCTTGTCTTCTAACAATTCATCTTCAATGTTGTTCTACATTGTTTTGCATACTCTAAAGAAGTTAGCTTCGAATTTTGTTCTAATGGGGTAGCCATAGTTTTTGCTTCCTCCAACTCAGTATCCTTGATTAATTGAAGAGCATATTTTCTTTGATTCAAGAGAATTCATTCCTTAGATCTCGACACCTTGATTCCTAAAAAGTATTTCAGCTCACCCAAATCCTTCATTTTAAAATGAACATTCAAAATCTCCTTCAATTTAATAATTAGAGAGTCACTATTTCGAGTTATCAGTAGATTATTAACATAAACCAATAACAAAACCATCTATCTTGCTCCCTTTAATTGAATAATGAGTAATCATGTTTACTATGAATATAACCATCTGATAATAATGCTTCTATGAGCTTTAAGTTCCACTACCTGAAGCATGTTTTAGATCATTCAAGGACTTTTGCAGTCTACATACAACATTTTCCTTTGACTGAAAAATCCTTATGGTGACAACATATAAACCTATTCATAAAGATCCCCTTGCATAAACGCATTAAACACATCCATATACAACAATGACCAACAAAAAATAGAAGCAATAGCTAAAATAGTTAAAATAGTTACCATCTTGACCACAGGAGAAAATGTATCACAAGGGCATTACAATGGTCCCATTGAGCTTGAAGAGGTGGAAAATCATCACGGCAACAAACACCGTCAATAAACCTTAACTTGTTTTTTTGCAAGAAGTGCAATTCTCATTGAGCGACTCCAAATCGTATAATTGTCAATTCTAGACAGCTGATGCGAAATGAGAACTGTGCCAGGAGTATCGGAAGGATGAAGGTACAAAGGATGATTAAAGTCGATTACGGTGGTATCCATCGAGGGTAACATCGTCGGTGACGACATTCTTGAAGGGGAAAAAGCAAAGAGTATCGAGGAAAAAAGAGAAAGAAGAAACGGATTTTGGCAAAGGGCCCAGAAAAGACAAAAGCCCAAACGTATGAATGAAAAATGGATCGATTAGACCTCTGATATCATGTTAAAAGTAAAACAAATATAAATAATTCATTTGATTTATTCACACTCAAATGCTAATTTACAAAATATATTTCTTATAACAAAATAACTTCTAACAAACTAACTAAGCTTAACTGCATGCTACCTAACACATCAACAAATAACTACTCATACATTTAACAAAAGCTTGTTAGATTCGGGTTTGTTATCCATCCCTACGATCATGACACCAATGTTAAAAAACTCCACTAAAATTTTATCACGTGAATAAGCACATTTTACAAAAACGAATCTTTATCAAAATGATTTTACTTTCCTAAATAAAATTGTTTTAGATATTATTTAAATAAATAAAAATATAAAATATATATTATTCTCACAATATTACCCTAAAAGTACTTTTAAAAACCAGTGACATACCTATAGAAAGATGAGAGAGTGGTCCATTTGGCGTAAATATCGCGATACATAGGGGCGGGGGGAAACCTACTCTCTCTCGAATCTGGAACCGAAGTAGAACTGAATTTCGTTAAAGACGTCACAATACTTTTTGTCTTTTACTTCTCACTTCTCATATTTAATATATAAAAAGAAGAAGAAGAAAAAGAAAAACCGTTTCTAGCTACCCGACGTTATCGCATGAGCACTAAAACTTTGAAATTTATTATTCCATTCAAACTTCAGATACAAAAAAAAAAGAACCAAAAAAAGGGGGTGTATGGTTTCAGTTCCAGCTCCAGCTCCAGCTCCAGCTCCAGTTTCACTCTCTTAGTCTCTTTGCTGATAGTTGAGGCAAATCAAACAAAACCCAGAATTTCTTTTTTTTGATTTCTGTGTTCTTTTGATTGAATTTTTTTTTGCTATAGATTTGGTAGTGGAAAAAAGAAAATTGTAAAAGAGAGATGGATCGGTATCAGAGGGTGGAGAAGCCAAAAGCAGAGATTCCCATAAACCAAAATGAAATTAGGATAACAACACTAGGCAGAATGAGGATTTTATTACCTATGCCACCACTCTCCTCAAAGTAACTTCCTTTTCCTTCTTTCTTTTAACTTTTAATTTTATTATTTCACTTTTGATTTACTCAGCTATAAATATGTTATCTTTTGTAATAGAATTGTTGGGATGAAATGCTTCCCTTCCTATAGAATGAGTAGCTCTGTTACTTTGACTTGAGTGCGACAATATATATCCGACACGAGCATGTTTAAGTTTGAAAAGTTTTCCATTTATTTGGAGATTCATAGGTACTTTAAGTGGATTAGATCTGTAGAGATTTAACTTTATGCTTCATAGTGACAATATTGTGGTAATTGGGGTTTAGTCAGTGCTTCATTAGTATATTTCTATGTTAGTACTAAAAATAAAATAAAATTG